GGAGTCGAAAAGCAGGAAAAAGGATAGCAAGAAAGAGAAGAGAAAGGACAAGAAATCTCACAAACACTCCTCTGATAAAGGTTTTATGCTTGTTAAGTTCAAAATTATCCTTTTTTTATTGGTTTCATTACTGGTCTTTGTTGAGCATGAGTAGCATTTTCTTGATGCGGCAAAAGTTTGAATTAATGGGTTGTAGCTTTCTTATATCTTTGGTATGGTTTGCATTGTATTTGCTGACTTAAAAATTTTAAAATTCAGTTAAGAACAGTAAAGCTTTCTCAGGAGGGGGAAAAGGAACAATGAATAATCAATTATGAGTTAAGATATTTATTCAGCTGCTATTCTACTCGATATGGAATTTTGCTCGAGCATCTTTTGCCTATTAAAAGGGGGGATTTCTGAGGGCAATCCCACAACATTTGTACAAGTGACAATTCAATTGAGATAGCAACACTCACACACGCTAGAATCAGTGTCATCAAGAAATTCGTTTCTTAAAACTTTGGTTGTAAAGGTGTCGATGCTCTTTAGAAGCATTCATCTGCATTAAGTTTCTGACAAGCTTTTTAGCTTCTTTGCTCTTGTTGGGAGTTGGAGCATATATGATTATGGGAAGACATCAGGTGAGAGACAATGGAAAAATGTATTGCAATTAAAAGTAAAGTATGCTATCCAAAATTTGTAACTTTTCGTGAGTTCATGACTTAAAAAGTATAAGTAGCCGGTGAGAGATCACCACGGTAATTCACTTCCAATGTCTGAATTTGAAGGATTGATTTGCTTGCATGAATATTATATTTAAAATATTTACTAATCAAATTCTGATAAATTTGTTGTTTGAGAATTGCAGTGAATATTGAACTGTGTCTTTCTATTGCATGAAGTCAATCTTCTGTTTGTAGGGTGTGATCAATTTTTCTTGTACCAATTTTTTGAGATATGCTTCCAATATTTGCTAAATCTTTAGCAATGGTCTTTTGTGCTAGTGCTTGAGAAACTACAGTTGATCTAGCCTCTGCATTGCTTGTCTCCTGCATTGTGCAAAATAGTTGTATCAACATTGACATACTTTGCTTGATTCAGAGAAGAAGTCAAAGGAGAAGGGAAACGTAACCATCAAAAGGTGACCGGCCTTGGTGAGTCCTCTTGTTCTATTTTCTAAATCAACATTGATATTTATCAGATTGTAGTTTTAAGTTATAGCTTTCTTCTACTCTGCACCTGATAATGGCATGTTTTCTATATGTCTTCAAGAATTAGATCTTTCTAAATGCACATGATGTCAAAATGGAGGCATGTGGGGGAATTCAATTAACATTATTTGGCCATGTTTTTCTACTTTTTATTGTGTGTGGTATGGGGAGGGGAGGGTGTTCAAAAAAAGGCATAGTTCTTTATTTAAAGCTTAAATTATCATCTGTCCTCTCTTGTTCCTGAGAGGAATATGAAAAACACATATACCATGAATTCTCACTACATGTAAAGGAATTGTGGTGGTGCTAGATGCCAACCATTTTTCATGCTGCACTGCTGGATGCTTTGAATTCAACTCAGCTGCTAGATGTCATATTGGTCTGTTCTTTATATATTTTCTGAAAATAAATTTATAATTTTTGCTGGCAAACAGAAAAGCAAATTTTTTGAGGGATGGGGGTGGAGAGATGATCAATAGTCCTATCCAATGTATTGATCAATTAAGACAGCTACATTATGTATTCAGTTGAATTTTGTTTTGTCGAAATAGGTTGGCGAGATTCAATAAGTTGGTAAAATTGAAGGGCAAATTAAGCTTTTCATCCCTGAATATTTATAGTTTCAAATGTTTCATTTACTACATGCTTTGTACTTTATTCCTTTGGTCTTAGGGGTTCATATAGTTTAACATCTTCTATAAGAATGCAATAATTATCTTAGACTTACCTTTAGTAACGTACAAAAAGAATATATCGATACAACAATAAAAAAAACTATAAAACTATCAAATTGAGGTTAAATTTTCATCTAACTTTGCTCACTTCTGCTATTGGAATCAAGGAGGAAAACCTTTGAAATATTAAACCAGAGGGTGTAAGTGCAATGTTGAAAGTTAAAGCCTCAAGCTGGCCATGAGTGCCTGTTTCCTCCCTTTGCTTTGGTTCTTGTTTGAATGGGTCAGATTCAATGTTTTTGTTTGAAAGTTAAAGCCTCAAGCTGGCCATGAGTGCTTGTTTCCTCCCTTTGCTTTGGTTCTTGTTTGAATGGGTGGATTCAATGTTTTTGTTTGATGAATGCTGACTGTTGTATATGGCTGTGTAATTAGTTTGCCAATGATTAGGATTTGGCTGTATATTTTTGAGGGATCATGATGCTGTGAGTAAATATGGATTGTGTTTCAGGGGGATTTTTGGGAATGTACGGTAGGCATTTGCTCTGAAATTTGTGTAACAGAGCTCTGGCCATTTTGTTTCTTAAGGGTAGGATTTTATGCAAATGAGTTTCACATCAAAACTCATAGGCCTGAAATCGGACCATGCCTGGTTTGGGTTGTTGCCCACAGGTTGTTCAATGGAATTATTAAATTTCAAAAGAAAAAAAAAAGTGAACTGTTGACGTTGTGGGGTCATAACTAGCTAGACATGCATGAGTATCTTATGTCTATATAACATTTGCCTGCATTCACAGCTGGGGGATTTTGTGTGGGAGTGACATTTAAAATAGGGTTTTTGTTTAATTTGTTATTTGCTGATGTTATTTACTTCATTCCTGCAGAAACATTTCCAAGAGCTATCCAATGATGACTATTTTTCTAAGAATAATGAATTTGCTACCTGGCTGAGAGAAGAGAAACATGTGTTTTTCTCTGATCTTTCGTCTGAGTCTGCCCGAGAATTATTCTCAGACTTTGTTATAGACTGGAATAACCAGAAGCTTGGATCTCAATACTATGAAGGCATTGCAAGTGGCCCACGGACTGCACAT